ATAGAGAATGAAATGAAGGCAGAAATAAAGATGTTCTTTGAAACTGAGAACAAAAAGACAACATAACAGAATCTCTAGGACACATTTAAAGCAGTGTCCAGAGGGAAGTTTATAGGAATAAATGCCCAAATGAGAAGTGAGGAAAGATACAAAATCAACACTCTATCAACAAAATCGAAAGAGCTATAGGAACAAGATCAAAAAATCTCAAAATCTAGCAGAAGACAAGAAATAACAAAGATCAGAGAAGAACTGAAGGAGATAGAGACACACACAAAAAAACCCTTCAAAAAAATCAATAAATCCAGGAGCTGGTTTTTTGAAAAGATCACCAAAATAGATAGGCCACTAGCCAGATTAATAAAAAAGAAAAGAAAGAAGAATCAAATAGATGCAATAAAAAACAATAAAGGGGATATCACCACTGACTCTACAGAAATACAAACTACCATCTGAGATTATTACGAACAACTCTATGCCCATAAACCAGTAAACCTGGAAGAAATGGATAAATTCCTGGACACTTGCACCCTCCCAAGCCTAAACCAGGAAGAAGTTGAAACCTTGAATGTACCAATAACAAGGGCTGAAGTTGAGACAGTAATTAATAGCCTACCAACCAAAAAGAGTCCAGGTCCAGATAGGTTCATAGCCAAATTCTACCAGACATACAAAGAGAAGCTGGTACCATTCCTTCTGAAACTATTCCAAATAATTCAAAAACAGGGAATCCTTCCCAAATCATTTTATGAGACCAACATCATCCTGATACCAAAACCCGGCAGAGACTCAACAAACAAAGAAAACTTCAGGCCAATATCAATGATGAACATAGATGCAAAACTCTTCAATAAATACTGGCAAACCAATTGCAATAGCACATTAAAAAGCATATCCATCACAATCAAGTAGGCTTCATTTCAGGGATGCAAGCCTGGTTCAACATACACAAGTCTATAAACATAATTCACCACATAAACAGAACCAAAGACAAAAACCACATGATTACCTCAATAGATGCAGCAAAGGCCTTTGACAAAATTCAACCGCCCTTTATGCTAAAAATTCTAAACAAACTAGGTATCAAAGGAACATATCTCCAAATAATAAAAGCTATTTATGACAAACCTACAGCCAATATCATACTGAATGGTCAAAAACTGGAAACATTCTCTTGAAATGTGGCACTAGACAAGGTTGCCCTCTCTCACCACTCTTATTCAATATAGTTTGCAAGTTCTAGCCAGAGCAATTAGGCAAGAAAAAAAAATAAAGGGTATTCAATTAGGAAAAGAGGAAGTCAAATTGTCTCTATTTGCAGATGACATGATTGTATATTTAGAAGAACCTATCATCTCAGCCCCAAATCTCCTTAAACTGATAAGCAACTTTAGCAAAGTCTCAGGATACAAAATCAATGTGCAGAAATCACAAGCATTTCTATACACCAATAACAGACTAACAGAGAGCAAAATCAAGAGCAAATTCCCATTCATAATTGCTCCAAAGAGAATAAAATACCTAGGAATACAACTAACGAAGGATTAAAGGACCCCTTCAAGTAGAACTACAAACCACTGCTTAAGGAAATTAAGAGAGGACACAAACAGATGGAGAAACATTCTATGCTCATGGTAAGGAAGAATCAGTATCATGAAAATGGCCATATTGCCCAAAGTAATTTATAGATTCAGAGTTATTCTCATCAAGCTACCATGACCTTCTTCATCTTCACAGAACTGGAAAAAACCACTTTAAACTTCATATGGAATCACAAAAGACCCTGCATAGCCAAGATAATCCTAAGCAAAAAGAACAAAGCTGGAGGCATCACACTGCCGAACTTGAAACTATACTACAAGGCTACAGTAATCAAAACAGCATGGTACTGGTACCAAAACAGAGACATAGACCAATGGAACAGAACAGAGACCCCAGAAGAAACACCACACATCTTCAACCATCTGATCTTTGACAAACCTGGCAATGACAAGCAATGGTGAAGGGACTCCATGTTTAATAAATGGTGTTGGGAAAACTGCCTAGCAATGTGCAGAAAGCAGAAACTGGACCCTTTCCTGACACCTTACACTAAAATTAACTCCAGATGGATTAAAGACTTATACATAAGACCTAACACCATAAAAACCCTAGAAGAAAACCTATGCAAAACCATTCAGGACATAGGCATAGACAAGGACTTCATGACTAAAACACCAAAAGCATTGGCAACAAAAGTCAAAATAGATAAATGGGACCTAATGAAACTCCAGAGCTTCTGTACAGCAAAAGAAACAATCACTAGAGTAAACCAGCAACCAACAGAATGGGAAATAATTTTTGCAATCTACCCATCTGACAAAGAGCTAGTATCCAGAATCTACAAAGAATTAAAACAGATTTACAAGAAAAAAAAATAAACCCATCCAAAAGTGGGTGAAGGAAATGAACAGACACTTTTCAAAAGAAGACATATATGAGGCCAACAAACATGAAAAAATACTCATCATCACTGATTATTAGAGAAATGCAAACCAAAACCACATTGAGATACCACCTCATGCAAGTTACAATGGCGATCATTAAAAAATCTGGAGACAACAGATGCTGGAGAGGATGTAGAGAAATAGGAACACCTTTACACTGCTGGTGGGAGTGTAAACTAGTTCAACCATTGTGGAAGACATTGTGCTTCCTCAAGGACCTAGAAATAAAAATTCCATTTCACCCAGCAATCCCATTACTGGGTATATACTCAAGGGATTATAAATCATTCTATTATAAAGACACATGCACATGTATGTTCATTGTGGCACTGTTTACAATAGTAAAAACCTGGAACCAACCCAAATGCCCATCGATGATAGACTGGACAAGGAAAATGTGGCACATATATACCATGAAATACTATGCAGCCATAAGAAACGATGAGTTTGTGTCCTTTGTAGGGACATGGATGAATCTGGAAACCATAATTCTCAGCAAACTGACACAAGAACAGAAAATCAAACACTGCATGTTCTCACTCATAGGCAGGTGTTGAACAGTGAGAACACACGGACAGAGGGAGGGGAGCATCACACACTGGGGTCTGTTGGTGGGGGCAAGGGAGGGACAGTGGGGGGCGGTGGGGAGGTTGGGGAGGAATAACATGGGGAGAAATGCCAGATGTAGGTGACAGGGGAATGGAGGCAGCAAACCACATTGCCATGTGTGTACCTATGCAACCATACTGCATGATCTGCACATGTACCCCAGAACCTGAAGTACAATTAAAAAAAGAAAAGAAACTTATACCTGGGACCACTATCCCCTCCTCCGAACTCAGTACCTCTTTCATGACACCTGCAGCTTTTTATCTTGTGTTGTAAGATTTATATGGGAATTTCTTCTTCACCATGACCTCAAGTTTCTTCACTCAATCATTCAACCTCTTTGAGCTAGTATATGCTGGTAACTATAGTTACTGAGGTATCAGAATGGGTACGTGTCCTTGAGATGCTCAGGTTCAAACTGGTTCTTGAGTACAGCAACTGTGTCTGACTCATCTTTCAATATCCCATGCCTTGAGCCACCGTGGGTGATCTCAAATATTTGATAACAGCAAAAAGTTACCTAGGAGAAGACATCTGAGCTAGAATCCTGGGGAGTCTTGGGAGGTTACTGAAGGCTAGTGAGCGTCTTGAGGCTGGATGCAAATGCCCCTGGGCTTTCTGAAGGAAATTATTTTATATTATGGAGAGAAATCTGGCTCTAGATAATGCTATATAGGATGTACGTGAACCAAAAAAATCCATGAGTTAGCTGTGACTTGGTGCTCAGGTACACACAGCTTCAATAATACCTGAAGAGGCTCTGGCCTACAGTCAGGCCCAGCTTTTCCACTGGTTTCACAGTGATGTTGAACAAGTCATTTATCTTCTGTGGGTATCAGTTTAGCTACCTTGACTTTATGCAACCAACAATTATGGACACCTACTGTGTTTCTGGCACTGTGCCTAGTCCTGGAAATACAGAGATACCTCATATGATTCGCAATTTTGAAGGCACTAATCCAGTAGGCACTATACAAAGGGCCATCAAAGAGACATGTTGTAACACCTCCACACTGTAGGTCCCGTTCTTCATTTCTTCCTGCATAAATTACCAAGCTTCTTTACCCGACATCAAGCTTCTCATGATTTTCCCCTGTCTACCCGTCTAGTTTCTCCTCCATACTGACCCTGTACACTGGCCATACTGTCCCTATCTTTGCCCATGTAGTATCACTCCAAAATTCTCTACCTGCTAAATTTATGATGATTCTTCAATAAAAAGTGAAAGTGCCATAATTGAGGTATACAGAGAAAGAGCATTGCATTTGTAAAGAAAGAAGAATTCTAATATTATAGTTTTTTTTAAAAGCTTCTCTTTTTCTTTTTTTCCCTTCTTCCCTTCCCTTCCCTTCCCTCCCCTCCCCTCCCCTCCCCTCCCCTCTTTTCTCTCTCCTTTCTTTCTTTTGTAAAAGGAAGAGACTAGATTAGACTAACTCTACCAACCCGTACCACCCAATGATCAATGATCAATGATTTAGTAATTACTTATTAATCTTTGTACTGGGTCTTTGGAACTCATGATTACACTGTCTGACCTCTGCTTTCCTCATGGTGTTTGAAAATGCCTCAAGAGCCAATTAACCCATGTGATGGTTAATTTTAGGTGTCAACTTGACTGAGATGCACAAACATTTGGCCAAATGTTATTCTGGATATGTCTGTGAGGGTATTTCTGGGTGAGATTAAAATTTGGGTGGGTTGACTCTCCCTGATAGGGTGGGCCTCATCCAATCAGTTGAAGACTGAATAAACAAAAAGGCTGGGAGAGAATGCCTCCTGACTGCTTGAGCTAGAACATGGGTCTTTTTTGGCTTTTGAACAAGAACTGAAATACAGTTCTTTTTGGATCTCAAGTCCGTTGACTTTCAGATTGGAACTTGCACCATCAGCTCTCCTGTTTTTCAGGCCTTCAGCCTCAGACTGGAACTACATATCAGCAATCCTGGAACTGCAGCTCACTGACTACAAATTTGGGAATTCTTAGCCTCCATAATTGCATAAGCCAATTATTTATAATAAATGTCTTTATGCATATAATCTCTTTACATATATATATACACACACACATATATGAAAACAGAACCAATAGGAGATATATAGATGTAGATATGGAAATAGGCATAGCTACAGATATGGATACAGATATAGGTATAGATATAGATATTGACAGAGATATTCTATTGGTTCTGTTTCTCTGGGAACCCTGACTAATGCAACCACATTGCAGGCCATGGGCTTGGCTTCCTGAAGAATGTTCCTCTCAATGGTGAGTAAGATGTTAAGTTTCCTCCACCACACCCAACTTTTCCTTTCCTATATTCTTGGCTCTGCTGTTGATTATTGTTTTCTCCCTAGAAGAAAGATATCCTAAGATATGGGAGATAACAATTTAATAGAATCTTGCCATATGGAGCTAACAGGACACTTAGAGATAATTAGGTCTCTTATTTCAGAGCAGAGGTGCTTGTCTATGGTTCTGTTATTTGTAGACACTTGTGGAATGCCTTCCTGTTCCTTCAACTCTCTCTTCTCTTAGTGAAGGTTTAACCTCACTTTTAGACCCAGCTCAAAATCTGCCCCATTTAAAGGGCCTTCCTGGCTGGGCACAGTGGCTCACTCCTGTAATCCCAGCACTTTGGGAGGCCAAGGCAGGCAGATCACCTGAAGTTTGAGACCAGCCTGGCCAACATGATGAAACCCCATCTTTACTAAAAATTAGCCAGGTGTAGTGGCAGGTGCCTATAGTCCCAGCTACTCAGGAGGCTGAGACAGGAGAATCGCTTGAACCTGGGAGGCAGAGGTTGCAGTGAGCTGAGATTGTACCATTGCACTCCAGCCTGGGCAACAAGAGCAAAACTCCACCTCAAAAAAAAAAAAAAAAAGAAAAAAAAAGGGTCTTCTCCCCAAGTTTGAATTCATTGCTCTGTTTTCTGTATCCCCACAGAATTCTGTACATATCTTTTTACTTAGCTTAATATGTTTTATAATTGGAGACAGATCAAGAGGTACACCAGGCAGGTGGGGTACCAGGTATCATTTGTAGTGGGATAATAAAGCATCAGTAAAAATAGAACAATTTGGAGAAAACTATATTCATCAGAACTCTTCACCTATATGCAGCTGGAAGAAAATTTGAGACTCAGAGAGGTAAGCAACTTTTGCTCAAATCATCCAGCTAGAAAGTAGCTGAGCTTGGATTTGAATCCAAGTCTGACTTAAAGAGCCATGCTCTTGTTGGTTATTCATACAATAATTTGTGTAAAATGTTAACTGTGTGCCAGGTACCATGTTAGACACTGGGGTGCAAAAGTTCAAGCCTGGTTGTCCAGGGTTATGGCAGGTAGTGGCAGAATACAACCAAATTCCTTGTGTAAGTCTTTGGTCTTTAGGCCTGAGACTCTTCTGTCCCACTGAGTGATTTCACTGCTAGGATACTCTAGAGCCAGTTCCCCAGCCTTTCCCTCTTTCCAAGAGCAGACAAGACACTTTCTTAGAATAACCCCTTTGCCTGCCCCAATATCTTTGGCTGTGCCCACTGTGGAAAGAGAGTCAGGCTGCTGCCAAGTTCATTAATAATTTTGGCTTTCTGGAGGAAGGAGTTGGATTGCTTTGCTCTTTGAATATCAAAACATCCAATTAACACAGCTAATTAGCATCACCAGCAGCAGTCAAAAGAATGGCAATTTAGAGGCAGAATTTCAAAGGTTTCCTAGTTGTAGGCCAAGGCAACCCATCTCTTGCTAATGACAAGAGTTACTCACTTAGGCAATTCTATAGCAGCCATCAATTAACCACTGGGCAGAGACTGGCCTCATCCCTGAGTCATTTGTCTAATCAGAACTGAATAGAGAAAAAGAGGCACAATGAAAAGGAAGAGGAAGAGAGGGAGAGGAAGAGATGACAGAATGGAGTTAAGGGGTCCAAGAAAGGAAAGAGAGAGAATTAAGAGAGGAACAGAGAGAAAGTGATACAGATACACACAAAGACAGAATTCTCAGAGAAAGTGACAGAGAGAATGAGGGAAACAAACAGAAAAGGTGACTTACAGATAGACAGACAATCAGATAGGGTACACAGAAAAATGTATTTCTTAAAACATACAGGAAAGACAGGACAAAAGCTTCTAGCCACCAGTAGCTCTGGAAAGGTCAGTGATCACTGGGAAGGCTTAGCATTCTGATCTGTGAAGTCAGGCCTAGCTGTAAAAGTTTAAAGCAAAATGTGGCAAGGCTTGGCTGCTGTAGTGGAATCCAAAAGAGGAAGAGGCCAGGAGACTCAACCCAGAACTTTTCCTTTCACACACTGAAAACTGGATTTCCTATGAGCCTTGATTTGTCTGTTGCAGGTTAAATATGCAGCCAGCACTCCCTCATTTGTGTACTTTCTCCTGTAAACACAGTGAGCTCAATGCTCAGGCCTGTGATTGGCCAGGGGGTTATTGTTCTCTCCCTCAAGGAAAGAAACCAATGGATCTCTTACTGACTCCACCTCAGAAATGACTTTCCCATCTCTCCTCCTCTCCATTGCACGGTCTCTGCCCCAGTTCAGGCCTTGTGGTCGCTTCGCTAGGTTACTGCAGCAGTCTCTGGCCTCTTCTTGATGCTATCCAATCCATTCTTATCACTGCTGCCAAACGATGTGGCTAAGATGAAGAGCTGATTGTGTCCCTTTCCGACTTAAACCTTTTCAACGGTTCTGGACTTTCTCTGGATCAAGTCCAAACCTGTTAATCATGGTAGTCAGGGCCTCTGTCTAGGCTCTTGCTGTCTTCTCCTGACCCAGCTCTTCCTTCTCCCCATTCCTCACTGATACCCCCACCGCACTAGATGACATGGGGGCTCCTAGATGCTTCATGCTGTCTTTACCTCTGGGGTCCTCCTCATACCACTTGGCCCCTGCAATGCCTCAAATCCCTGCTCATGCTCTGTGCCTTTCTGTGACTATGCTTTTGTTTCCATACCTCCCCTATCAACTTGTTCTTTTTATTACTTCGTTTCGTAACCAGCATGTATTCCAGGACCACAAATCCAAATGTCTTCCAAGGATGAATTCATAATGTAAATATGTGCAATGATAAATATGAAACAGTAGAGGGAGTAGTGACAAGTGACACAGTAAATACCAGCTCAAAAACCTCAAACTCAAAACTCAACCAACCAACCAACTCACCAGCCAATAAAACATTACCCTTGCCAAACCCACCATCTGCAGGAAGGAGTCAGCCATGGGCCACCAGTTGATGACCATTGATGACCTTCCATCTGTAGCCTGACTCTCAGCTTAGTCTGGCGCACAGGGTGTTCTGCACTCAGACTCCAATTTCAATCCTTGCTATCTCCATGCATTTGGCTCCCTGTTCAGGGAGATTTTCAGTCTGTGCCGACTCCTCCCCTTTGCACCTCACAAGGGTGTTCACTGTATGTAAATAGCTGAAAAGAACACTAACATTTACAGTGAGTAAGCCAATCCCATCATACACCTGCTCAGGCAAGATGCTATTAATCAGCATTTTAACGAAGCCCAATTACAGTAGATGATGCCTCCCACCAGGTAAGGCAATGGTTACAGATGGGAACAAACCAGGAAATCACTGCCCTCTCCCAGGAGCTTGCTCCACTGCAGCACTGGAGGGTTAACTCTAGGAAGACTGAATGGCTGTAGTGACAAGAGTCCAGCTGATGGCCCTATTAGCAGTAAGAAACGACCTCTTTCCCAATCGCCAACATAAATGCAGACAGGACGGGAGGAGCTGGGTTTCTAGTTGGGAGTAGCTTATGGCCAGTGATTACCTTCTCTTCTAGCTGACATTCTGTCTTTCCAGACATGACTGGGTCTCTGTTTCCAGTATCCACCCCTGAGTGAGGCCTGGGTAAGGCATTATAGTCTGTAAAACATGATCTTCACTTCCTCAACTTCTTTTTTTCTTTATTCCTCCATTTACTCCTCTTTTCTCTTCACAGCACTCAAGCATCCAGGGCGCCTCCCAACCCCACCTTCTATTGCAGTTCATTGGGTTAATAGCACAGGCTGTGGAATTAATCAGTTTCTATGTGAATTCTGACCCTCCACATCTACCAGCTCTGTGACTTTGGGAAAGTTATTTTATTTCTCTGGACTTTAGTGTCTCATCAGTTAAATGAGAACAATAATCCCTGTCTTGTCTTCTTCATATGGTTGCTTTGAGATTGAACTGGGGAAGCCATCTACGGCAGTACCTGCCACATAACTGACTGCCCTCCCTCCATTCTGCAGCTTGACTGAGAAGTCAGTAGGGAGGAGAAGTTCTTACCCCTTGCGAATTGTTCCTTTCTTGACTGGGGAATGAAGTATGGACTTCACAGTGCTTCCAAAATCATACGAAGGGGAAGAACCCACTGGTCTAGGATAACTCTAGCTCCTCCCACATATATCAACCACTCCTGTTAATACAGTAATTTCCTCATGCTACTCTCTTGCTCAAGAACCATCTCTGGCTCTCTGTTGCCTATAATCTAAAACTCGAAATTAGTACTATGGCATTTAAGGCTTTCTATGATCTGACCCGAAAGATCAACTAAAGCTAGAAAAGTCGAAGTTTAGTTCCTAAGCCTCCCTTGTATGAACTCAGCATTCAGACCAGTTTCTTCACATGCTCAGTTCTATCACTGAGCCTTTATTCATGATGACACACTCTTCAGAATGTTTTCCCTGTTTTACCGTGAGACTGTAAGTTCCTTCACTAGGCTATGAGGGTAGATACTATTTTTTGTTTTGTTTTTAATCTCAACATCAAGAGAGAGAGATACAATGAACCTCTCAAGAAATAGGTCTTAAACTGGACTAAATGCCATCACTGCAAACACTTCTTCTCTTGTAAGTTCCAGAACAGATCCTTTTAGGTGGTCTAATGTGGTCGTGTTCAGACTCTGAAGCCAAAAGACTTTGGGTCAAACCCAAGCTCTACCACTGTGATGGTTAATTTTTTTTTTTTTTTTTTTTTTTTTTGAGACGGAGTTTCGCTGGAGTGCAATGGCGCAATCTCGGCTCACTGCAACCTCTGCCTCCTGGGTTCAGGCAATTCTCCTGCCTCAGCCTCCTGAGTAGCTGGGATTACAGTCACGCACCACCATGCCCAGCTAATTTTTTGTATTTTTAGTAGAGACGGGGTTTCACCATGTCGACCAGGATGGTCTCGATCTGTTGACCTTGTGATCCACCCGCCTCGGCCTCCCAAAGTGCTGGAATTACAGGCTTGAGCCACCGCGCCCAGCCTGTGATGGTTAATTTTATGTGCCAACTTGGCTGGGCCACATTGCTCAATTATGTTGTCAAATAGTATTCTAGATGTTTCTGTGAGGGTGTTTGTGGAAGAGGTTAAAGTCAAAGTCTATTGATTTAATCAGTAGACTTTGAGGAAAAGAGATTGCCCTCCATAATGTGGGTGGGCCTCATTCAATCAGTCAAAGGCCTGAATTGAACAAAAGACTGACCACTCCTGAGCAAGAGGGAATTCTGCAGCAGATGGCCTTTGTTCTTGAAAAGTAACATTGGCTCTTCCCTGATCTCCAACATGCCGGCCCACCCTTGCCAACTGCCAAAATTGCACAAAGGCCAGATGTGGTGGCTAATGCATGTAATCTCAGTGCTTCAGGAGGCTGAGGTGGGAGGATTGCTTGAGGTCAGGAGTTCAAGACCAGCCTGAGCAACATGGAGAGAAACTGTCTCTACAAAACAGTTTAAAAACTGCATGAGTCAATTCCTTGAAATAAATCTCTTTATATATACATGTACACACACCCTACTTGTGCTCATTCTGGAACACCCTGACTAATACAGTCACTTCCTATCTGTGTACCTTTGTCAGGTCATTTTACCTCATTGAGCCTTTGTTTTCTAATCTGTAAAATGAGGATGATTGTTCCTCCTTCAGAGGGTTATTGTAACAATTCACTGTGACCCTGACTATGCATGTCAGAGCACCTATAATTTGTGAGCTGTTTCACCTTGCTTAATCTTATTATCAAGGTCCGCGACCTCCAGGAAGTCATCTCAGCTGCTCTAGCCCTCTTTGCTCTTTGACACTCCTGGGGTCCTAGAGGAAACTGGGCCCACATCGCAGCCCTGACTTTGTCCTTTCTTTCAGTACCCAAGCACATGCGATGATGCCCAGCACTGCACGACCCTGGTGGGTATGGAGGGGCTGAGGAGGGGGCCTAGTACAGATGCTAATACAGACTAATCTGGGAACAGCTTTCAAAGCTGCAGCAGAGGCTGCTGAGAAGGACTCAGACACGGTGCTGCAGTCAATTGGGTCCTGAATTGAAATTCATCCCATTGCTTTTTGTCTCGACAGGGTAATAAAAAATCCTCAGACAGTATATTATGAATGCAAAGGGGCAACACTGGCTCTCTGCTCTCCACCACCATCTGAGAGAAGGACCTGTTGGGTGCCTGAAGGAAATGGGCTTTGAGAGGAGGATAGCGGGTCGGAGCAGATGGCACATCCTTGGCTGGGCAGGGAGGGCTGGACCCTCACAGTGCTAAGCCAGTGCTTCCCGACCTTTCATGTCATGACTGAGAAATTTTTGATATTTCTTTGCAGACTGAAGGAAAAGGTAAGGGGCTTCCTTCTGCTGGAGGTTATCAGCCCTGAGGCTTGGGTCACTCCAGGCCTTGTGAGACTGTGCAAGGGCTAAGGGACCTGTACTTCGGTACAGCACCCACCCATCAAAGCACTGAGGCTGGGACTCTCTCTGATATGCTTTCTTCCCAGCTGGGAGCAGAGCAGATGCTGAGGTCCTCACATGCTGACTTGAAAAGCTCAGTTGGAAAGTCTAATTTGGACTCCCAAGCTTCACTGGGTCTTGCAGTTGCTCTTTCTTTTTGGATCAAGCATCCTGCACATCTGATAATGTTATTCCTTACTCAAAATGACCAGCACCTATGTTTCCAAGTAGGGAACATAAAACAGGGAACAGGGAGCCCACTTCTCCATTTAATCTCTTGCATTCTGTCCCCTAATGATTTTATGTAGTTTTAAAACAACTCTCTCTCTCTCTCATCTGTAGGTGGCGAGTTTGACAGATCTAAAACAAATGACCAGAAGATAGGGATTTAGGCCAGCTTGGTTCCAGGCCACAGGTGGAATTCAGGTCTGCCTTCCTCCCTTGTTCATCCTGGGGTTGAGCTGAAGTGGCAGTGGCTCCCCATGACATGCTCTTCCCCTGGCAAATTGCTGGAGTGGCAAGTGCCAGCCCAAACCGCAGAGGCACATGGAAGACCTCCATCTGAGTTCTGTTAGTGTCCCTTTGGCCAAAGCAAGTCACCTAGGTATGCCCAACATTAGTAGGGCTAGGAAGAATACTCCGCCGACAGCCCTTCCCTGTACTTGAATTTCCAGCCACTGAAAACCACATTGTCATGTCTCTGGGCACTGGCCTAGAATATCCATTTCATTCTGTGAGTTTCAGCTCAAGGGCTCTCCTCTGTGAAGCCATCCTTGCCTCCCTAAGGCAGAGTTATATACCTTCTCCTTAATGGTCCCCTCTATACCTTATGTGTCCTTTCAGGGTATTCTTATTAATTGTAATGTTTGGATGTCCATTTCTCCATAAGGCTGCACTTTTGGAATGCAAGAGCCTTTCCCGGCCCATTACAGGGTCCTCAACCACCTTGTATGCGGCTTGGCACAGGAGGAAGGAATGCTCACTTGTTGTTAAACAAATGCATGAAGAATTGAATAAATGAATGGCCAGTGTCTGGTCTTTTTGATTTCAATGTGCTCACTACCTGGACCCACTGGTCTCTCTGTATGCTTTGACCCTGGGCGCATTAGGGTACAGTTTAAAATCCTATGTCTAGGTTATAATAGACCTAAGCTACACTGAATAGAGTTGATGGTCCTCAACCCACCATGCATACTTGTGGCTGCAGTTTGAGTTCACAGAATGTCTGATCAGGGAAGGATATTAGAGACACCCTTGTTCAACTGCACCCTTAGGGAAGAAGCAATGTCTTATTCATCTTTGATTGCAAATGCCCAGCACAGGGCATGTGACAGAGTAGGTGCTTGGTTAATACCTGTTTTGTTTTTCTCACTCTAATACTTTTGTAGATAGAAAAGTGAAAGTCCAGAGTGGGAAAATGGAGTTACTGAGTCACACAGGCTGTTTCTGGTAGTCTGGATTCCAGCCTGGTTTCCCTGACTTCCAGGAGACCAGAATCTAATGGACTTTTTCTAAAGCCTTGTTTTTTGACACAGACCTAAGGTTACATGAAGTAAGTCCTTACTAACTTGCTCCAAATCTGTCTTAGAACGAATTGATGGGTCTAAACATGGATAAGTTCATGTTGCTTTAAATCCATGAAGGCAAAAAGCAGTATACTCGGTAGCAAAAGCACAGGCTTTGGAGGAGGGTGATGGACCTGGGTTTGAGAATCAGAGGAACACTTGCTAACTATGTGACCTTGGACGAATCCCCTAATTACCTTGAGCATCAATCTCCCCAACCCTCCTTCATCACCAAATGGAGCCATAATGCCACTTTTTTGGGGTTGTAGTAAAGATTCATGCTAATACGTGACATTTACCTAGAACATCTTAATCTCATGTGGTTAATCCCTTACTATGAAGTCGTGTTTTCAAATTGTTCTTGAAAGCTGGCCTGCAGCCCTACCCATCACCTTTGGAGACTGTTTGCCCTTACAAAGACTCCCAGTCTGGATGCCCTGCCATCCCGGGAGTTTAATATTCACAGTGCTGCTGCTCACTGTGGAACAGCCACTGACCATAAAGTTTGACATTTTTGAAGATGAAAGTGCTTTGAATTAGTCATGCACATGTGAAGTCATTGTTCCTTCCTGTCCTGCTCTGGAATCTAAAAATGACTTTCAACAGAGTCCAGTAACTTTCCCTCAACAATCACCTTCCGGTGAAGAGGTATGGAGGATTTTAGGCTAAGCAGAAACTCTCGGTCAGTCAGAAGAAAACGAGAGCAGAGTGAAGGCATTGTGCGTCACGTTTGCAGAGAGGGGTCTGCCCTGCCACAGCTTTGCGATCTGCTGCCTCTTCGAGGAGCAGTAAGGGCTGGAGGGCAGTGAGGGGTGGACAGGGCAGGTGAAACCTCACAGACAGTCTGGATGTGGGCACTGGAGGAAGGATGATGCTGTGGAATCCTGGGGCTTTGGGTTCAGAGCTTGGCCATGCCTCATACAAGTTGGGAGACTCCAGGTAAGTTAATATCATGGGTTAACTTTTTTTTTTTTTTACTTGTAAGAAATAGTGACTGCTTCATAACACTGCCAGGAGAATTAAATAAGCTAATAAAGCACTTAGCACAGTATCTGGCACATAGTAGGAAAACAGTACGTATATCTCTTCTCTTGAGACATTTCCAGCTTTTCTAAAGCTCGGGCATCTCCCTTATGCTGTAACTGCTGTGCATTCCCAGACTCCCAGACACCCACTTGCACATACAATCACTAAAGTGCTTAGCCAAGGGGCTGTGTGCTAGAGATTTTCCAGTCTGCCTCAGTGCATATAAGGAGGGGTAGACTATAGTCACACTTTCTTACAAGAGAACTCAAAAGAAGAATCCTCTTTTGCTTTAAAGCTGGTCATCTGGCTTCATGTGTCTCTGCAGTGGTGCAGACAGTTCTCTATCCAGGCAATCAGAGGGTCTCCCAACCACCTGCTCAGCAGATCCCTGACTTACTGGGATCCCCATGAAGCAAGCGCACGGACTGTAAGGCACAATAATAGATACCATCCCTTACCAGGAGCCAGTCAGGGTGTTAAGTACTGACATGCATTAGCTCATTTAATTCTCACTACAAACCCGAAAACTTTGTACCATTACTTCTATTCAACAGATAAGATACCTAAAGTTCAGAGAGGTGAAGTAACTTGCCCAAAGTCACACAGGGCTTGGAAGTGGCAAAACTAAAATTTGAAACCAGATTTCTATGATTTCCAAGTCTGAGTTCCCAACCACTGAGCCACATTAGTTAACTCCCTCATTCCTGGCCTTTGCCTGAGCCTGCCCCACTTGTTTGTCCTGGCTTTCTCTGCAGCTGGACTGAGAGATGTGGTCAACTCAGAGGCTGGTGTGAAGGATGCAGGTTACTCATGTTTGCCTCGGTGTAGTGTTCCGCTAGACTTCAGGCAGCTGTGTGGTTGCACTGTGTTTTGGGACTGTGCCCTTGGCATTCATCAGAGGACACTATGAGAGGCATCCTCATGACACTCATGTTGGCCTCTGCTGAAGGAATGCTCTTGAAGCCAGAGGCCACTGCCTTCTACTGGGCCCCCACATGAATTCCCAGGTGAGATGTTTCCTTAAGAGCTCAGTGGTAAGAAATGCCTTTCATTGCTTTATTGTGAAAGGGCTTTTGTTGTAATTTACCACAGTGATAAATAAATGAGCAAGCAAATTAAAATAACTGGCCCATGGACACATCCACTAGGATGTCACATGGGCCTCAGGAGATCCCTTCTTCACCACAAACCTTTCCTGTCGGACACACCGGGAACAGAAGCTCCCCTGGGCATTCTGACAACCTCTGATTGTCCCTTAACTCAGTTCACAGTTAACTCAGACCCTCATCAGACACTCAAACAAGAAGCCACTCTGTCCTCTCTTAGGAGGCAGAAGTGAGAGATGGTGAACCCCAAAAACAGTTCCTTCAAGGTGAAGGTCAAAACCCCAACTTATGAAGAGCTCTGTAGGTATTACATCATGTGAATCTGAATCTGAACTATAGTATGAGGAATGGGGAAAGTAACAGAGGGAGAGAGGGAAGGAAGAATTGGAAAAGAATGAAAAGAACAAAGGAAGGAGGCAGCAGAGTTAGGCTGAAAGGGGTATGAGGAAGGACAGGGACTCCTGAGGCCACTGTGATAGGCACTGACACAGGTCCCCTCAATCCTCAATATCGGTTAAGGTGTCAGAGCACAAAGCATTGCTCAAGGTCATCAAAGTGGAGAACACTTAATTCAAATGCGGATTTAGTGCGATGCGTTTCCACTATTTGCCTTAAGAGAGGGAGCTAAGGAGGAAGAAAAAGAAAAAAAAAGTGAAAGAGGTGGAAGGAAAAAGAGAGGTTGGGTCGGGGGAGAAGATAAAAAGTGGAGAAGGTAAGACAGGGTACAATAAAGTTCTGTGCAAATTGTGTGTGTATGTGTGTGTGTGTGTGTGTGTGTGTGTGGAGAGAGAGAGAGAGAGAGAGAGAGAGAGCCAAACAGAAAGACAGAAAGACAAAAATGGAAACAAAATGGGGAATGAAAGAGAGATGACCTATGCAGGGAAGAGGAATGCTATGCAGAGAGGGACCTGGGAGAACTGAAGGAAGGTGCCCCTCCCCTCTCCAGCCGCCCCCCACCAACCCCAGAGATACTCAAGCCCTTCAGAGCAAAGGTCTTAGCCCAGACAAAGGACCCGGCCGCCTTCCAATCCTCTATGTGGAAGGTAGCCTGACTCTCACAGCAGCCATGCACCCTGGGGGCCAGGAGAGGGCACTTCAACCTCAGGCAACTGCAAGGAGGCCACAGCTGGCAGTCCCCCAAAGGCAGGCAGCAGAGGGAAGGAGCCGGGAGAGAGTCCAGACTCTTGCTCAGTTCAGTGGGTTACCAGCCCTGTGGCCAGCATCTTTCCAATGGAGCTAGGATCCGATGCACATCACTGCTAACACAGGCTGGGAAGTGAACTGATTTGGGTCCTCTGTGGCTGCCTCTACACCAGCCCAGTGCCTCCTCTAGGCCCTGCCCCTGCCCCTTCCCTATTCTAGATCTGATTTCTGTCCAAAAGAGCAACATGCTTCCAACTTCTCCTCAGCCCCCTCCTGCTCTTCCCCTTCACCAGGAATCATTCTTCTTTGAGTTTGGGGTAAAATGGTTTTCCAAATCATGTCTTGCCTATGGTGTCATTTGATCTGTCCAACTATTTACAAGGTAGGTGCAATAGGGAGAGTGGGAAATGAGTATAGATGAAGCATCAGTTGTCTACATTTATGTTAAAAAATTAAAATCAGGCCAGGCGCAGTGACTTACGCCTGTAATTTCAGGACTTTGGGAGTCTGAGGTGGGCAGATCACCTGAGGTCGGGAGTTCGAGACCAGCCTGACCAACATGGAGAAACCTCATCTCTGAAAAAAAAAATTAAAATCACCGCACTTTCCAGTTCTTAAATTCCATGATGAGAACCCAAGTATCTTAACTCTATCATGACATGCTTCCTCAGCACCAGACTAACATGCTGTTTCCAGCTGAGCATCACCTACCATATCCCAGTCAGACTGAACCCTGGCTTTAGTCACAGAGCTTGACCATAGACTGAGTCCTGAGACTACTCCTAAGTGAATTCGTCCTGGTAAAAGTTCCAAAGCATACACATGAGGATGGAGGTTTCTACTGGGATGTCAAAGGACTCTGAACACACCTTTAAGAAGACTGGTGTGTTCTTAAGAAGACGTTATTTAAGAATCTAAAGAACCCCTTAAAAATCTTAAGAACCCTTCATGGAAGTTTCCATGAAACCTAAATCCAAACAGATTTCATCTCTTCTGCTAATCCAGGAATTTATCACTCAGATTTCATCCAACTCGATACCTGGCTGGTAATAATAATGATGAAAGTATCACTGAGTGCTTACTATGTTCCAGGTAATCTATTAGGCACCTGGGAATCTGTTTGGTTTCCATCTCCTCAAAACAACACTTTGAGGTAAATATCACAATAATCATTGTTACAAATGGACAAACTGAGGCTCAGAGAGATTAGG